TTTTTTTTCTCAAGCTTGACACATTGCAAAGGTCACCCAGTTTATGACTTTAAATGAATGTTTAAGCTCCGAATGTGAATGTGCAGGTGTAAATATTTATTAACGTTGCCAGTTCTGCGGTTTTTTCTTCTTCTTTGTTGACCAATCTTTACTGAAACAAAGGTTAACTATTTCAAGGGTTTCTTTTATTAAACAAGTTTATTTTATATAAATTTCAATTTAAACCATTCTCAACAAGAAATCAGACTTGATTGAAGAAAGAGAAAAAAAGATAAAGTAAGACGCTTTTTATCTTTTTTTAGATTACTTTATATGGAGCAAAGGCTCAATAAATCAACAAAAGGAAAGGGCTCTTCTTCTCAACAACAACATAATAGTAATAGTAGTAGCAAACGCTATAGCTTAAGAAACAAAAAAGAGTCATCACCAAAGAAAGTAGCTAAACAGACGAGTTCCAGAAAGAGAAGACAGTCAGAAACAGATACTCCAAGTAATAAAAGAAGGATGGAACAAAAGGGAAAACAAAAGGAAACAGAAAATAATAAATCCTTAAAAAAGAATCAAAGGTAATATATATTTTTCTTTCTTCTTTTCTTACTAATAATATTCAAATCCAATTTATTTAGAAGAATGTCTAATCAACAACAACAACAACAAAACTTGGATGAAACTCTACAAGATAGTCCCCATGTTCCCGGTTTAGAATATGAAGAGAAAGAGGGAGAGGATCATGCGGATGAAGAATCACATTATGATAATGGGCATGGAGAAGAAGAAAACGAGGATGAGGATGATGAAGAAGTTGGAGACGAAGGTGATGAAGAGGAAATGATGAATGAATTGAATCGTGTCAGGCGTGCTCTTGGTTTACAGATGGAAGGCCTCTTTGGTGGTATGCCATCTGATTCTAGCAGATTCAGATCCATCTTATCAACCCTCAAGAACCAAGAAGAACCAACAATGCAGCTTATAGCATTGCAAGAACTGGCAGAAATCTTATCCGTCAGTAATGAAGATAACCTGATTGGTTATTTTTCCTGTGATAGCTTTGTAAAGGAATTAATCCGAATTATGTCTGGTCCAGAAATCATGGCAGATATGGATGATGACATGATGCTCGCATTAGCTATGAGCGAGGGTTTATCAGCAGGAAATCCTGAGATCATGTTGCTTGCTTGCCGTTGTATATCAAACCTCTTGGATGCCATGCCTACCGCAGCAACAAGCATCGTATTTCACGGAGGAATCAAGGTTCTGTGTCAAAAATTAAAATCAATTCAGTACATTGACCTGGCTGAGCAAGCTCTTTGTGTAAGTGCCACTGTTCACAAATGATATTGTTTGTTAATCGACACATTTATTTTTTCGATATTAGGCTCTCGAGAAAATATCTGCTCAAGTGCCTCGCGCAGTCGTACATGAAGGTGGACTCGGCGCATCCTTGATGTATTTTGACTTTTTCAGTGTTCATGCTCAGCGTACAGCTTTACGTACAGCATCCAACTGTCTACGTGGAATAGATCAAGAGTCATTTTCACAAGTAACCGAAGTGACCCCTACATTGATGAATGCAATGTCCTATTCTGATCGCACAGTGGTTGAACTGACATGTCTTTGTTGGGTAAGAATCTCTGAAAGTTACCGCAGTCAAAGAGAGTCTTTGGAACGGGTCATCTCCGTGGATCTATTGAAGACCCTGTTTGGTTTAATTCCCATAACTGGAAACTCGAATGCTGTACGACCTGCCACATTTCAGGATATCCTGCGTATCTTCCGGGCTGTTGCCAAAGCCTCGCCTCACCTCAGTTTTGAACTTTTAAAGATGGATATCATTGGTACGTTCTATCACATTCTTACCGGCTCTGCTGCAGCAACGAATCAACCACAAACATCTCACGTCACATTGGATTCAAAATGGAGAGAATCTGTCCCAACCATCATAAAGACCATGGCCGATCTATTACCACCCTTACCGAAAAACAGCATGTTTAGCTCAAGAAGATTTAAAGAAAACGGTCCTGTTGCAAGTCGTACCAGATCGTCTGGCTTGCCGTTGCCTTCGGAATCTGGTGGCAGTCCCGTCGACCCACGCATTTCTTGGTTTGAAGAGCATTCCGAATTTTTGGTTCGTATTGATTCAATTCTCTTTCCGTTATTCTTGGATATGTACGCCTCTACGGTTAATCTTCGAGTGAGACAGTTGATCATCCACACGATGCTCAGGTTAACGCATTACACAAACCCAGAAGATCTTGAGAAGGTGCTCAAGAGCGTTCCGTTGTCAAGTTTCTTATCCGGTATTCTAACAAGACAGGAGCAACCGGGCCTTATAATCGATGCACTTTATCATGCTGAGCTTTTGATAAAGAAACTCCCAAGCATTTACCACGTTTTATTCGAAAGAGAAGGTGTTCTTCACGAGATAGAATCTATTGCTAAGCAGCCGATAGTAAGTGAATCACAGTCGACTCAAAATGATGCAAATCTCGACGAAAGTGACGCCACGACGACTGATGCAGAAAAGAAACAAGAGGGTGATGAGGAAGATGAGAGCGAACAGGAGGAGAGAAGAGATACGGCTATTGGTAGCAGCCAAGAGAGATCCAACCTTCCGCAAAGGCGCATTCTTGATCGTGGTGATTTGCAAGCACTGTTGCAAGAGCATTATGCACTCCTTCAATCATCAAGAACTGGCCGCCATTCGCAGTCCGCAAGTGAATCAGAAAAGGGTTTGGGCAGAGGCTCCGTTAGGAAATATATTATTCAACTAGCACAAAACTTCATTGCTAATTATTTCCACGCTGACGAGTCCAATGCTCATGGAGTGCCCTCACGTACGCCAGGCAGCACATTGAAGGAAATCGCCATTTTCACAGAGCAATTATTGAACCCGCAAGACAAGGAATCAGCAGAGAAAACACTCGTACAGCTTTCTACGTACTTGAAAAATTCTCCGATGGGCATCAGCAGCTTTGAGCTGACGAATTCTGGGCTTATGAAGGCCATGTTAGCTTTTCTAACTGAAAAAGATGGGTTCAACAGTATTTCACGAGAGGAACGCAAGCACATATTTGAAACTATCTTTATGGACAATCCTGATCTTGATGAGGATGGTAATAATTCGTTGAAGAAATTGGTGGTTCGTCTGCATGAGATCTTGAGTAGATCCGAAACGTTTGAGGTCGTATCTCCACTCGAATCATCTTCAAGCGATAGTTTTCGTAACCCTACAAGCATGCTGGCCAAACAATTGCGTCTGAGGCTGACTGGAAAAGGCGAGAATATTCCTAGCAGCTACAGGCAACTCATGGTGTCTACTCATGCTGTAGCTATGTTTCGTGTTCTTGAGGAGTATCTATTGGCTCGACTTCGCGCTTCTTCTGAACTGGAAGATCATCATGACGATAAGCACGAGGAAGACGAAAATGATGATGATGAAGAAGAACATATGCTGATCAGTGGAAATGGTGACGATGAAGAGGAAGAAGGAATGGACGTTGACGACGAGGATGAAGAGATGGTAGACGCTGTTGAAGTACAGAAGGACAATTCAGAAGATGAAGAAGCATCAGAAGGTAAACAATCCAAACCTTGTGCAAGTAGTAGCAACAACAAGAAGAAGGATGGCGAATGGAGAATTAGATTCTCTCTGAATGGAACTGTCATCTCTAACGACACAACTATCTATGCTGCCGTCCACCAGTATGAAATGAAAGAAGAACGAAGTCAAGCAAGAGCCGGTCGTAGTATTTGGTCTTCATCTTATCCTGTGACGTTTGAACGTGTATGGGTTCCAAACTCTGACAGCTCTGATGATACAAAAAAGGCAGCAATCGCTTGTCAATTGGCCGATGTTACGAAACCAAAGGACTTTTCGGATGACTCAATCTGTGCTCAAGTAATCCTCTTGATGAAAGAATTATCTTTGGCCATTACCAAGAACAGCGTTGGCATATCGGCTCAAGACTTTATCAATCGCAAACTGACAGCTAAAATGAATCGCCAACTTGAAGAACCATTGATAGTTGCAAGCTCCTGTTTACCCACTTGGTCCTATTGGCTGATGAGCGTTGCTCCGTTCTTATTCCCTTTTGAAACTCGATATCTATTTATTCAAAGCACATCCTTTGGCTATTCCAGATTGATTGCTCGATGGCAGAGTCTTCAGATGCGAAACAATACTCAAAACGGCCCTAGAGATGATGGCCATCAATCGCAACAGCCTATCCTTGGACGTATGGAAAGACAGAAAGTCAGAATTGTGCGAACACAGATGCTAGAATCTGCTATCAAGATCTTTGACTTGTTTGGTAGCTCGCCCGGAGTACTGGAAATAGAATATGTTGGAGAAGAAGGCACTGGCTTGGGCCCCACACTAGAGTTTTATGCATCTACTTCAAAGGAATTTAGCAAGCATTCTATCGATATGTGGCGTGGCTCAAACAAATCATTAAGTGGCTATGTTGATGCTCCAAACGGGCTTTTCCCAAAACCTCTGGCTAAACCAACCTCAAGTTCAGCAAAGAAAGTCATTCAGCTCTTTAGGACGCTTGGTCAATTCGTAGCAAAGGCCATGTTGGACTTTAGAATCATTGATATCAGGTTTAATCCTGCCTTTTTCAAAGTTGTCCTTGATAATGCCAAACCAAGCTATGAACTGTTGATGGTAAATAATAATAATAACGTAACAACACAATTTTAATATATTCTTGATAACTAGGAAATTGATCCTATGTTGGCAAAATCCTTGAATCTTTTACAGTCATTCATAGACAGGAAGAATGCTATATATGCTGACCAAACCAAGGTTTGTAATGGACTTGAATTGCCACTTTTTTACTAACTGTTTCTGTAGTCACACATTCAAAAGATCAAAGAAGCAGAAAACATTGAAATAGATGGTGTCAAAATAGAAGACCTTTATCTTGATTTTACACTTCCAGGAGACTCTAAATATGAACTAAAGGTAAAATGTTTGCATTGGATAATATATAGACATGTATATTCATTCAATCATTATAGTCCAATGGTAGCGAAATACCAGTGACAATAAAAAATGTCGAGCAGTACGTAGAATTGGTGCTTGATGCTGTGGCAGGCTCTGGTGTGGCAACACAGATTGAAGCGTTTAAAGAAGGATTTAATGGCCTATTTTCTATCGAAGATCTGAAATTATTGACTCACTCTGAACTGGTAGCTCTATTTGGCACTTCTGAAGATGACTGGAGCCTGGCTACATTAACCGATACTATTAAGGCAGACCACGGATTTACCATGGAAAGTAAATCAGTCCAGTATCTATTAGAAATATTGTCAGAAATGGATGCAGTACAACGACGCGCATTCCTGCAATTTACCACAGGTTCACCTAGACTACCGATTGGTGGCTGGAAGGCACTTCGACCTGTCTTTACTGTTGTGAGAAAGGTGCCCGAATCAAATTTATCGCCAGATGACTACTTGCCTTCCGTCATGACTTGCGCCAATTATTTAAAGATGCCCGAATACTCTAGCAAGGAAATAATGCGTCAAAAGTTAGAGAAATCCATGAAAGAAGGACAAAATAGCTTTTTGCTTTCTTAATTGTATTCAGTACAATTTTCCCTTATATATTCCTCATCACATATACACACATTTTCTCCCCATATGCAATCTTTTTTTTTTTTATACACAATCCTTTGTTACATAGCAAAACAATTTGATAAATCATTTACACATTAATAAAGAAAAATACAATTAAAAATGAAATCATACATGACCCGTTTAGTAACCATGTGTGTGTCAATGAATGCCCAAAGGTCCATTATGCACAAAGTTCAATAAAGGAGTTGAAAAAATTAAAAAGGAGGTTCACCCTGATTGTTTTGTAAATTTTATATCTATCTGGCGTTTATTAATTTTTAGTATATTTATTTACTGTACTTTAGTGTTTAAAGTTACAGGCAGAATTCGATAAAACTAAAGATGTATATACTATCGTCACTTGATTATACTCCTTTTAAAGAAAAATCTTTTACTGCCTGAGTAAGTTCCTATGCATTGAGTTTTATATAAGCATGGCAGTCTACTTTATAGTTACCCTTTGTGAACTATGCAAGAGATCCTCATTTGGAATATCGACAAGATCTTTTTCCCTTTTTTAAAAGATACCAGAACATTGAACAAATAATAATAATAAAAAAAAGAGACCCTAAAATTTTTCAATGGAATGCAATATATGTCAAAACTGCATAGCATTATCTATTTATGCCTCCAAAACTCTTCTTTCGAGACCGTAATCATTTATATTCTTCTTTTCTTTCCTTGACATTCATCATTTATACTTGACTTTCCTTTCTCAATATACACAGTCGTTCCTTTCAGTTTGTTTATGCTTTATTTTAGTACTCATATGGAAGCGCCGGACGCTCAAAAATCATTCATTCACCCTTATGATCCCGCCGTCGAAAAGGAATACGAAACCCTCATTAAATCATGGAAAGAGCAGCTTATTGATAAAACACCAAGAACACCTAGCAATGACTATGTCAGACTTGCCTGGATGCGGTTGATAGATCATTACCTAGATCAGCAATGGTTGGACTCTAAGCAAATGTTACAGTGCGCGCAAGCTTGGAGCGCAAGGGACTCTCTCAGTCTTAACGAGGCTGTGCACACGATGAATATACTAAGCCTAAAATCGATGCAGCGATCCCTTGATGCGCGTCAAGAACTACTTCAAGCGTTAGGTGATCCGGAAATGATGGTGGGCTTTGGCCTATATGAAGGCGCTGGTGTGAAACAAGACCGATTTTCTCTGACTGGTTCAGATAATGATGACGAAGTACACGCTCCTCTACTCGTTAGACACACATACGATTCCTTATCGTCTGCCTCTTGCGAAGAGAAAATACTGGAGCAGCTACAGTGTGGGATAAACCCGGATACATGTACCCGATACAGTGATGATGACGACGACCAGGATATTGCAGATGAAACAGAAGCTATCTTGGCAACGTATAGGGACGAGGAGCAGGATTCACAAACATCAAGCTCAGTAAGTCATTTGTCTATGGTTAGCCACGAAGAAGACAGTATCAAGCAAGAAATAGCCGAAAATGAAGTACAAGACAAAAGTGAAGATGCATTTCCTGAACCGAGGTCACCCTTGATGTTATCAGTGTCTTCTCCTGAGGCTTTCTTCCCTACTTCGAAAATAACAAAGAAACAAAACTTGCATCGATCTACTTCTTGGAAAGAACTAAAGTATGACACTCGTAGCAGCTTTAGTAGCGATGAATATGTTTCCTCGCAGTCAGGCGCTCAATGGAAAAGCTGGTTTGCCGAAGATCAACAACTGGCATTCCCTTGTACATTTATTGAACAAGAACTTGATACAGAGCACATAGAACCGAATACTATATTTTCAGCTCAACAAAGGTCATCTCCAGTAGCTTACAAACACATAAAGCCTTGCAAGATACTGCGTAGTGAATCAAGTATCTCTACCTTCCGTCCTATAAGCAACAACTTGGCTCCAAGGTGTCAACCTCAACAACAGCAGTCCAGGTTATCCACTTGCTCCTTTCTGCAACAGCAAAACCAAGCCAGATCACCCAATAGTATCAAAATGATGAAAAGTAGGTCTTTTCCATCAAAATCAGCTCTTTTATCGACTTTTAAAAAGGTTTCATCGCCACCTCCAGTGCCTCATAAAGAGCAGCGTGGTCCTTCAAAGATACGATCCATCGTCAATAAGAAAGTTTCTTTTTCAAAAATATTTGGAAACAGAAAAGGCTCATCATCTTCTTCATCTACTGCTTGAATCATCTCTTAATAAAAAGTTTATTTTATAACCAATTGCTTTTTGATCCCGTTGTCATAGCATTATGTCATTTCTATGTGCTTACTGTAGCGGTCTTTGAGGGCAGGAAATGAAACGGATGTCGTTTGCGTCAGTCTGAGGTCAAAAATGGAGTTCAGGCGTGTGTGTGTGTATAAAAAGAAAACGTTTGCTTTCTTTTGTTGCAAGCGATTCAACTCAGCATCATGTCAGACAATAAGCATAAATACACCAACAGGCTTATAAACGAAAAGAGTCCCTACTTGCTTGTAGGTTTCATAAAACAACCTATTTGATGTGCCACTAACAATGTCTATCCCCTAAATTAACCAAAATATTGCAGCAACACGGTAAGTTTTTTTTCTTTGTATCATTTATGAAAGGTCAATAACGCCATAGTTTAGCCCATAATCCTGTAAGTGTATAGTAAAATACACACAAGTTGTATAACCAGATTTTTATCCAAGGTTGATTGGTATCCGTGGGGTAATGAAGCCTTTGAACTAGCAAAGAAAGAGAACAAACCCATCTTTCTCAGTATCGGTTACAGTACATGCCAGTAAGCTGCATAAAAGAAATTGTCGTGCATTCAAATTAACTATATGTGCCCTAGTTGGTGCCATGTTATGGAGCATGAGTCCTTTGAAGACGAAAAAGTAGCAGAAATCATGAATGAATATTACGTTAACATTAAAGGTATAAAAAAGAAAAAGGATTATCATCAACTCATCACGATCTATTGTTGTATTTAGTTGATAGAGAAGAAAACCCAGGAGTGGATAGATTGTACATGACTTTTGTCCAATTAACAACAGGTCATGGAGGTTGGCCAATGTCTATATTCTTAACACCAGAGTTGACTCCTTTCTTTGGCGGATCTTACTTTCCTCCTCAGGATCGTTATGGTAGTCCTGGATTCAAGACATTGCTAACCCGTATCGCTCGTATGTGGGCCGCTAATCCTAATGAAATAAGATCAAGTGGTAAAAATATCATTGGTCAGTTACAGGATTACGCCGCGGTATGTTTAGTTTATGATATATACATAGCGTTTGTTCTAATTTTGGCAATTATAGACGTTACCTGCAACAGAGGACGGTATAAATTTTATGGAAATCCTTGAAGATACTTACGATCACTTTGAGAACTCCTTTGATGCCATTGACGGAGGTTTTGGAAAAGCTCCGAAGTTCCCTACACCAGTTCAGTTGAAGTTTTTGATGGACTATTATCACTTGATACAGCGCTCTTCAAGTGAAAGTGCTTCCAAGGCTATTGATATGGTAACATTTACACTGAAAAAAATCGCCTCTGGTGGTATCCATGGTAAATGATAAAAAATAATATTGTACATACAGGCTTTAATTAACATTGGGCCCAAAAGATCATGTTGGAAGTGGATTCCATCGATATAGCACAGATAAAAAATGGCATGTGCCTCATTTTGAAAAAATGCTGTATGACCAGGCACAGTTACTCTCTTTATACTCATTTGCTTACTTGATCACCAAGGAATCCATCTTTGCTGATGTTGCCAACGATATCATTCTCTATGTATCTCGCGACTTGAGGCATCCTGATGGTGGTTTTTATTCTGCTGAAGACGCTGACTCTTATCCTAATGAGGAAGCCACAAAAAAACTTGAAGGTGCGTTTTGTGTCTGGGAAAGCGCAGAACTCGAGGGCCTTCTGGGTGCTGAAGTTGCTCGTGTATATAGCGTACATTATGGTGTTAAGAAAAACGGTAACGTTTCTCCATCCCAAGATCCTCACAAAGAGTTGACAAACAAGGTATTTTAGTACAACTTTATTTAATTCTTGTACACTCATTCCTGTTTAGAATGTACTTATGGAAACCGGGTCACTGGCTGACACTGCCAAAGCAGTGGGCAAGAGTGAAGAGGATGTACGAGACATTATAAAGACAGCAAATGCAAAGCTGTGGAAGCATCGTTCTCAAGTGCGACCTAAACCTCACAGAGATGAAAAGGTAAACTCTTATTATTATAGGACTCTATTGGCAGTCCTAATATCCCTTTTGTCAACAATAGATCCTGGTCACCTGGAATGGAATGATGATCTCTGGCCTTATACATGCCTATCAAGCCATAAAAAATGAAAATGCCCTGAGTTTAGCGATTTCAGCTGCTGAATTTATCTACAAGAATCTCTACAACGCCAGTTCACATACACTTATTCGAAGCTTCTGTGAGGGAGCATCTGATATTGGTGGTGTTATAGATGATTATAGCAATTTGATACAAAGTCTATTGGACTTGTATGAAGCGACTCTTGATGAAAAATGGGTTGAATGGGCCGCTCATCTCCAAGAAAAGCAAAATGAGCTCTTTTTTGATGACGCCAACGGTGGTTTCTTCAATGTTACAACGAGCGATACATCTATTTTGATCAGAATGAAAGATGGTATGATGAAGGACAATATGATCGTATTCTTGACTTCACTAATTATTTTTTTTTTTTTTTTTAAAAAAAAAAAAAAAAGATCAAGATGGCGCAGAACCTTCAGCGTATGTATCTTTTAATTAATAACTTAAACCACTCACATTTTCATTATAGCAATGCTGTCGCCTTGAAGAATTTGGCACGTCTTTCCTTTTTCTTAGGCAACGATGAATACATGAAGAAAGCTCAAGCAACTGTTCAGGCCTTTCAGGTACCCTTGACTAAGTATCCTTTTGCTTTACCTGCTTTTGTTTCTTCATTCATTCTGGTTGCACATGGATCAAAAGAGGTATGAGCTTTATTCACGAGTATACATGTGCTCACGGCTTTCTACAGATTGTTCTAGCTGGTAGATTTGATGAGAAACTACAAGAATTCATACAGACAGCAAATGACATTTACCTGCCAAATAGAATATTGATATATGCAAAACCAGACGGATTTATTGCTCGAAAAAATGCTGTGGTAGGAGAGATAGCTTCCAAGGGAGTACAGGAGCCTACTGCATACATCTGCAAAGACTTTTCATGTGGACTTCCCATCTACTCGCCTGAAGAATTCAAGACAAGCATCAAAGATTAACAAAATACACGTACATTTCTTTTATTTCATTGAAATAAAAATAGCATTTTATTTAATGAAAACAGAGTTCTTAGCTGCTTATTGGGCAGACAAGATATCAGAGTCACCGGCATCAGTGATGGAGAGAACACTGGTGCGGAAGAGCTTACCACAGGCAGTACCGAGATCGATGTTGTTACCGTTGTAGTGGTGGACACCAGTCTTGGACAACATGGCATAGTATTCAATTTCGGACTTGCGGAGAGGAGGGCAGTTACCGGCAATGATGATCAACTTGGCTAAGAAAAAAAAAAAAATCAGTCATTCCGTCATGTTAAACATTAAAGAAACAAGACAAAAAACAAATTGGGCTCTTTTGCGTGCCAATGTTTCCATATCCTTTCCCTTGTTTCATTGTATCAATCCTGTATCAACTTACCCTTTCCTTGACGGATAGTCTTCAAAGTGCTCTTGTAACCGAGAGTGTATTTACCAGACTTGGTGACAAGTTGGAGACGAGAGTTGATGGACTCGGCATTCTTCTTGGACTTAGCGACAGGGGCCATTTTAACTAGTATTAGGGTAGTTTAGTTTGATACACGCCTACAATGAAGCATTTCTATCAACTCACATTAGATCAAAAAGTTAAAAAGGGAAGAGAGGGAGAATCAGTCCAGCAAGAGCCTCCTCCACCTAAGAAAAAAAATTTGGTAATAAGCCACCAATACCAGCCAATCAATGATTTCGTTTCTTTAATGCCTTTAAATATAACCAAGAACAGTACACTTAATTTTATAACATCAAGATCTTCTTCTCCAAATATTATCAATGACATTATCTTTAATTACTTTGATCACGCACACGTAGCTATTAAGGGCAGCTTCTTTTGGGAAAGCTATGTTCTCAAACCAGACGTAGTCGGAAATTGAAATACCATTTCTTCCTGTTCAAAAGAAGGGTCTCCTGTCACTTTTGCCTCATTTTCAAAAGATTATCAACTTGAAATGTCCAGCATGAGTTTTGCTCGTATTATACCAAGAGTTTTCGGTGCTCGATGCTATTCAACCGTGAAGCCAGATATTAAGTTGCTTAAACAAATCCGCCAAGAAACTGAAGTGTCTATGAGTAAAGCAAAAGAGGCGCTTATTCAAACCAACAATAACTATGCTGAGGCTTTGGCCTGGTTATCCAAGGATGCTCAAATTTCTGGAGCTAAAAAGGCACAAAAGGTCGCCGATAGAGCAGCTGCAGAAGGTGTGCTTACAACAGCTTCTGTGCAAGTACCTGTACAAAATGGATACAAAACCACAATGATCGAGGTAAGCCTATTTTGTGTCTTATCCCCCTCTTTTCTTCTCAAACTTTGTCTATTCTAGCTAAACTGTGAAACAGATTTTGTATCAAAAAATGACATGTTTAGAGGTCTCGCTTCAAGAATTGCAGCTACTTCATTATTGATGCATGAAACACAACGCTCAGCTGGTCGTCCTATTGAAAGCATTTCGATTGATAGTCTTTTACAGTCACCATTAATGCCTCACCCAGAAGCTGAATCATCTGAAATTGGAAAGACAGTACAAGAGTCTATTGTGGAAACCATTGGCAAGATTGGTGAAAATATCACATTGCGTCGTGCTGTTATAGTAGCCGATGGTATCTCTGCCTCTTATCTTCATGGTGGTGATGCTCAAAACGGTAAAATTGGTGGCATTGCTGTGCTTCAGCCCAAGAAGGTGTCCTTGGCTGAGCTTGATGAAAAGGCATCAGCTGCTTTATCCAAGGCTGCTCGGCAGGTTGCACGTCAAGTGGTTGGCTTCAGTCCCAAGTATTTAAATCCAGAAGATGCTAGTGAGATAGATCGTCAAACAGAAGGCATGAGCCCTGAAGAATTTGATGAAACTTTTGTTTTAAATAAGCAGAAATACATGCTGAAACCCGACCTCACGATTGCCCAATTTGTTGATCAAGAAGCTATCTCTAACGGGCTCAAAGATGGCGCTGAGGTTGTTGACTTTATCCGCTGGGAAGTTGCTAAATAAGATAAAAATATATTTATATTCATGTAAAATAAACAGTTTAGATTATATATTGGGTTCTTTTTTTTTTTACAATAAATAATAATACATTGCTCATATATAATAACAAGGATAGAAGTGGGTATTTGATTGAGGTATTACTCATTTCTTAAAGATAAGGCGTCCTCATCTTTAACTTCTAATCGTTGATGCTGATAATGTCGTTTCAATGATGTTGCATATTTTCCAATGGAGCGAGCCCAATAGATCTATAACAACTGTTTGTAAGTAAAATATAGATTGGTGTAGTTAAACACTGGTACCTGTATGAAATTAAATACAAAGGTGGAGATACCAGATGCAATCACAAAATGCTTTACAAGGTTTATGCAGTAACTCTTGTCTGATCCAGGGGCGATCAGCTGCTTTCCTGGGATCGAGATTTGAGTATAATAAGGATTGCCGGTAATATTATTTTTGGTGTTTTGAAAGTCTTGGCAGTCATTAATATAAACTTCTTGCTTCACCTTAAAATAAGTCCAATAAGCAACAGATACAGTAAAAAGTAAGAGAACGAAGAACCAGTTCAGGACATGATAGATTCGAACCATACGTCGATGTTGCTATTACAAATAAGCCACATTTGTTATATGTCATTTGATCACGCTTACCAGAACAATAGCTACTATTCCAAATACTGATATAACAGCATAAACTATAAAACTGATAGCAAATGAATAAAACACGCCTGCGAATGCTTCTGGTGTTAAAGGCGTATCAACGTTTTGCTGAAAGGTTGCCCAATATTCCATATCTGTATTTTACTTAGTACATTAAATATGCAATAAAAGAAGGTACCTTGCTTCTTGACAAACATAACAATAGTGAGCACTAAATAAACTAACTAAAGAAAGTCATTTATTAATACTTATGCTAATGACAGAAAGAGGTCATCACTTACAAATAGAATAGCTGACATCAAAAGTACACCCGGTCTCACGGGTATACAGCAGCATACTGTTTCACTATACTTCATTAGTATAGAAAGAAGAGAAAAAGGAAGCTATTGGAATATGAGGCGCTAACAAATACTTAAAGTGTGGCTTTTGGTAACTGTGTAACTGTCATCTGGGCTTTTTTTAGTTAATGAATGCCAGGGAAGAAATGTGTGACAGAGCTGAGTTTCACACTTTGAATAAAGTGTAATTGTTATTGATCATGTAATGTGTGTCAATAATTTCTGAATAAAGTGTAACAAAATATACAAGTTTATTTGGTTGATAAGGTTTCTAATAGCAACTTGGAACCAGGGTTGCTTTCCGCAGCTTGTTGAATCTCTTTCTTGTGGGGCTTTAATTGCTTTATCACATCTTTTCTAGTCGAAGGTTCTTCAGCTAAAGCAAGTACAATAAAGCTACCATGATTCGTAGCAAAATGAGCAAGATGAGGCTTAATCACTTCTAAAAGTTTTGGTGCAAATTCAAGTGGTTCTAATGCTCTGTCATTTTGGCCTTCTGCCGTATCTGCTTTGATCATAGCTTTGATAATGCGGTTACCGAATCTGTCTTCTATTATGTGGTTTTCCTTTTCGATGTTTTCTCCAGCCAATGCCAAAATAGCGTTGATTGCTTCAGTCTTGTCACCAGAGGCATGAAGCATGATTTCCTGCACTACTTGGGAGCTAAGCTTTTCTCTCATCAAGATAGCTGCATTATCGGTAACCAATTTGATGAGTTGAGGAGAGCATGCGTTCAAGATGTCCTTGGCTCGGATTTCAGGGTCCTTTTTGCTCACTCTGATCTTATCACCTTCCTTCAAAAGCTGAACTGTTTCAGGTGACAAGTATTTGGTATTACGTCCAGCCAGGATGTACAGGAAGAATCGACGTCCATATTTATCGGCAAATAGTTCCTTGGCGTTCTTGCACAACTCACCAACAACTGCTTTCGACAGCAACACGGTATCATCAGTAACGTCTAATAAACGCAACAATACGAGGTATCCATATTCATCGCATGCCATCTTTTGCAAATAAGGTTTAAAGCTTCTAATGATCAACTTACGATCCTTGGGTGTAGCAATAGACAGGCAAATCATACCAACCCAAGCACCCTCACGGGTATGAACAATGTCTGCAAGTGATTCTTTGAGATGACCCAGCATTGTTTCTCGTCCTTTGTCGTCGGCTAATGTCATATATTGATAGAGTGCTTTATGAACAATACTGTTAACAATTGTTCCTTTGTCCATACATCCACTCAGTGTCTCGGCCATGTGCCTAAGAACTGCATCTTTCTTGTCGGGGAAAGATTGAAGCAGGTCATCCAGTGTCTTGGCTCCACCAGTCTGATTGAACAATGTCATTTCAGGGCCGTAAAATTCTGCAAGCAGTTCGTTTCTCTGAGCAGCATTGGCAAACTGTGAAAAGAATGTTTCAATGACTGTAGCGGCTTCCTTGTGACGAATCAATTTACGGACATGTGTTCTGAATTCAGCCAAGATAGTATCTCTCTGCTTATGACTAAAGAAAAGTAAGACTGATTATTCTAAAGCTTGTATTCATATTTACCAGTATTCAATAGCCTTCATTACAATGAATTTACCATACATTGACTTGGCAAGTTCAAGATATCTACCCTTCAACTCTTCAGCTATCTGGTTTCTTTGTTCAGCGTTGCCCTTTTTAAGACAGGTTTGGATAATACGAGAGGCATCATGCTTAAAAATAACATCTTGAACTTTGCCACCAATAATACTCATGATCTTTTCCATCAATTGCTTTTGCTCTTCACGACTAATATCTCCACGTCGAAGTTGTTCCCAGACCTTCTTGGCCTGCGTGATCATTTCAAAGTTTTTGTCATGTGATTTACGTTCTATACGAGTATTCTTTTGCTCATTACGGGCCTCTGTCAAGGAAATATTAATATGATTGGTATACAAGTGCTAAGAAGTATTTACCAGTCTTTGACTTCTTGTTGTGATTTTGCTGGAATTCAGCTGATCTCTTTGCACCAATTTCAGACATGTTTTAACGTTAAAAAGCAATTAGAAATAAGCTTTGAAGAACTTTAAAAGGTCAAGTAAATTTATAAAGTCACAATAATAAGCCACTGATTTTGCCATTTGCATGAATCCTGACAATACATACTTGATTAGAATTAGCTACAGCGCACTTTAATATGGTGTTGCATTTTATAAAGAAAACATTTTATTATTTCACGTGAATATGTATGAACATATGATTTCCATGGTGATCAAAGATATCTCCATGTTCAACTCCTTTTTTAGTAATATACACCCCAAGCCAATCTTCATCCAGAAATAGAAATGGCCTAAGCATGATTGTCATATGCAATTGCTATTGTCCTATTTGACCTGTCCAATGCGTGGATGCAAGTATATATAAATATATAGGCAAATGAAATTAGCTTAATCTAATGAAGCGCGCAAGTAACAAGGTAGGCCATAATCTCATTCTATACTCTTTGTTACTATAGAAACAAACGCTTCTATAACACCAAAAAATGGATCATCACACGTGATAAAGGTATTCAATAAATGAACTTGACTTTTCTTTCTATCTTTCTCTTTTTTCTTTAAATCGCCCTAATACATGTCAACTATAGTTTGTTTATCAAGTCTAATTACAGCAGTGCGTTCAGAGCCACTCATTATGGAGCTCAGTAAAACTGAACAATTCATGACCATTTTGAAATCAATGAAGGCAGCAGCTTTAATGTCATTTACGTTTTTCAAGTTTATATTTTCAATCACATACAAGTCAAGCCGTATTATGCTATCACCTATTGTTTGGATTATTAGCTTTAGCTGGAATAACCTCATATTGAAGCCACTGGACCTCCTCTTGTCCATCAACCGTGCCTTATACCCTATTACTATGTTTTGCTTAGCAGCCGTATGCTGTGGTCTATTTATTGGTGGCTGTGCAGGTTTTGCAGCAGAAGCATTTTCTTCTATAGTGATCACAGCTACTTGGGGTCCACAGCCTAAACAGATAAAAGAACAGGAAGAGGAAGAGGAAGACAAAGTGGAGGAAAGTGAAATAGGCTCAGTTGTTAGCTTGAGTGATTACCCAAAAGAAGACAAGAAAGAAACAGAATCTACCAAGAGTGACACATGGGATAGCCCGGCAACATCTTCTCAATCATTTTCAATGTATCATCAATTGAACAATAGAAAGGGTAAAGAGTCAGTCACTACCGCAAGACAACTATCACCTCCTGTCTTGATTCGTAGAATGAAGCTATCACCCACGCCAAGTCATTCTAAAGAGACAAATATGCGTAAAAATAGCTGGGATTGGGAAGAAGAAGAAGACCAAGACCAAGAACAGAGAGAAGGTAAAAAGTATCTCTGATTATGTAAATAAATTATTTTTTCCTTTTTTCCCTCTTTATGCAAATTTGGAATAATAAGAAGGGTCTATTGACAAAGATTCATCTTGGTCAACTCTGCTTCGTCTTTGCTAAATGGACATGCATCACCCTTGTCGGTCTATTATTGTCATTCTTTTTATTTTATAAAGTAGACCTCAATGCTCATGTCTTCCTGAGGGAATCACTTGCTTCCATTAAAGTAAACAAAGAGCCACTTTACTGTTTTAGTAATCATACAGCTATACAACAACATGCTATTATTATACCCACTGCTATAGATGAGGATACTTGCTTTGATTATGCATCCTTAATTCACCCTAATGCCACTACTGTTACTACCAATACTGTATTTCACACCTTGTTAATAGACGAACTCTTCACAAAAAGACATTTCGATACAATACAATCCTTTTTGTTGACACAGCCTTCATCACAACTTACACTGTGGATCACGAGAAAAGAGCAATTAGACTCACCACATTGGAAAGCCCTTTCTGACAAGGATAACCTCCAGTACAGAATCATCTCGACGGCTGATCTAACTACCTCTTTTGACTCTATCAGACCATCTTCAGAATTACTTCCATTACTTATTCTCTATCAGCATGGTGGCGTCTGGTTCAACATGGATATCCTCTTTATTCGTGATCTTGCCCCTTTACTAGATCAAGAATGGATGTCTCAGGGAGACTGTCATGAAACAAAATCAAAGAGATTTACGGGGCCCTTGATGCATTTCTCTAGACGCTCTCCTTATCTATGCGAAATGATTCAGCAAGCTTCAAGAGTGGCTGCTGTCGGGCCCTTACTTTATTCCCATGTATATGATCAATGCATCATGAATGGAGTAAAACCCTGGACAGTGCTCCCCTGGTGCTATATGGATCCTTCGGATTGCAGTACAGGCGTATCTAGATCGTATAGCCTATCAGAACTAGATAAAAGCAAACTACTAAAGGCATTTGTATATCATTTACGCCCTTTCTGGAAAGGATATTTCTATGACCCTGTGTATGATTACTTGGCAACTAGACAAACTGTGTACTAATATATTAAACACAAGGATAAAGTCATTTGTGTAGTTTCTCTTTTATTTTGTAGCTCATTAGTTCACACAAACTACATTTTATCTCTATTTACAGACACATTTTATTCCATTTGATTTAACTAATGATATTCAATGAGTAACTAAATATTTTGCTTTCTGGCAATATTTATGTAAACTTACCAAATCATCTACATCGAATATGTCTTCTGCATCTTCTTGAGTACTCAGCATCATAGGCTCCATTGAATCAGCTTCTTCATCAAAGAACTATTTATCTAGTATTAAAAAAAGGTTTATGTTTTATATAGAAAAAAGCTTTACCTTCAGAGCATCATCCTTTGTAAGTTGTTGAACGTCTGCATCCTTGCTCTCTTCTTGAGTTATGAGAGTAAGTTTATTCCCTTTAAGCATTTCCCAGAATTGACGACGTGGCGATGTCTTGTTGCTCAACTCACACCATCCTTTCAGTTGACTCAGTGTTGCGTTAAAGGTCTTTGCCTCTTCTTCCTTTTGTTCTTTTTAGTTTTATGTGTAGTTTCTATTCTCAAAAACATACCTCAGCTGCTGTATTTCTCATGACTTGAAGACACTCTATGGCCTTTTGATAATTTTGACTTCCAAATGAATTAGCGACAAGTTCAACCACAATCTTGCCTAGTTGCTCAACAGCTAATAGACGAGGTAAGTGACCATTATTAGCCTCTTTTTACTTAACAGATACCTTTAGTAACAAGATCTATCTCCTTGTTTGATACCATTGCCTTGAAATCATCTACTGGTGTATTAATTGTAATATTCTGTACATCGCCATTAGGGTGCTGTATCTTTGTCTGCTTGTTCTTTTGAACAAGTTCATCAATAGGCGTCAGTTTGAAAGAAGCTTCATCATTCGCTTGTTCGTACTTTCTCTTCTTTTCCTTTTCCTCCACTATACAAAAAAGTATTAACAGACCGATAAGAATAGACAGATAAATCATGCCTTTTTTGATTTGAAAATGGTCCTGTAATCTCGCTGCAGTGAACGTTAATGATTCTTTGAATGCATCTGGGGTATTGTATTGAACTTGAAATTCTTTGCCCAACTCAGGTATAGCTGCATTTGGATCCAATGCACGGACCTTGATAGCCCTGTTGACCCTCCAAAAAATAGGATTGAATGTGTCATTAGGATCCAGGTATTTGTTTCTGTAATAATAATCGTAAGCATCGCTCTACAAACGTTTACCTTGGTCTACATTATTTACCCGTGTATGTCTGTCAGCTTGTTTAGATCCATTGTATCAATCAGTTCATCTATCAGCTGACTTCCTTTTGTATCATCACTAATATCTTTTGGAGGAGATGGGAATGTATATGGATGGACATCTTCTGAGAAAGGAAGCTAAAGTAGCATATTTAGATTGGGTGCTTTTGATACAAGTCGCCATACCTCGACATAATGAAGTAATGAAATGTCCTTTTCAAATAAGGGGAATAAAACACCTAATTTAGGAGCGCTATCGTCTTTATAAACATAGCGTACGAGTGCCAGAGTATCTGTTTCATGTAGTGCATGGGCTAAGGCCGAAATGGCAACGGCAGACTCTTCTGAACAATAGCTGCCTGCTGATACAATATAGGGATGTCCTTTTAAGTAGTACCTGCGAAACTGTGTACATATATTAGTACAAAATACATGCATAAAAAGATATTAAAGACATTTACCGTGCTCGCAGGCACAAATTCAAGAATAGACAGCTCTTTCTTCGTTTTCAATTTGCCATACTCTTCTTCTTCAGCAGATACTTTAACCACCTGCTTACCAAAGCGATATGCCTTTTCTAACTCATCCTTAGAGACAGTGATGTAATCCTCTTCCTCTGTCGTATCAATGCCATCTGTCTTGCTTTCGCCTGTATTCGAGACCGTATAGATTTTTTCGGGAACAACGTCATGAGTCGGGCCTTGGCTCAAACTCGAGTACTTTTTAGAGATAGGCATCTTGACCTCCTTCACACGAAGGTACATAAACACGCTTATGGCAAGAAAATGGTTTCTGTTAGGGCTTCCAAGGTAAAGATATCCTCGATAGCTAGGTGTTGGCCTAACTTCTTTGACCTGAATCTGATTTATCTCCTCATAAGTCTCGTTTATATGGCATACGCGACCATCTGGTGTTTGGGATGCTAGTTTGATCCAAAAATCATAGTTCGTCTCGATCTCCTTGGTACACATTGGGTCCTTGTATTCATGATAATCCACACCACTATATGCTAATTTAGATAAATCTATCGAATAATGTCTTCCTCTGTTTCTTTTCTTACTTGAATAGCATTACAATGTTATTATCTCTAAGAACTGCTGCGATATCATGATAGTCTCTCCAATCGATAGGATCTTTTGCGTTTGAGAATACTGCAATACACTTTTCGTATTTTAATTTCTTGCAGTGAGCCAAAATCATCTGAATAGCGACAATAACAGCATCAAGTACTATTACAATATAAGATCGTGTGTCTTTATCAATAACACGTTATTTACCATCCACTTTTATATTCGAATCTGATACTGGTCGTATTTTTATCAACTGTCGCAGTATGTTCAAGGTTGTTTGCTGTAAAGGATAGAGTGTTGAAATGTTTTGGTATTGATCTGGTGTGTCCAATTGATCGGCACAAACGTTGTCTGTATTGGGTGTTCCTGCAAGAAGAATAGAGGTGAAATCTGTTTTTCGTCCTGACAGAATCTAGGATATAATGAATAACTATAAGAACAAGTAGAAATTTTATAGTTACTTTGTCTTCAAGAGAAGTAGTTATACAATCTAAAGCTTTCTGAAAAGCATTTTCAGAATAATGACTCATTGATTCTGTGACATTGAGAATATAAACTGTTGCTCTTTTTTGTGCCATTTTGAACAAAGAAAAAGGGTCTTTTTTTCATGCTGATTTTTTATTACTGATAAATAGTGAAAAAAGTAAAACAACGCTGCTTGGGAGTCATACCACTGAAAAAAGTCTATCAAGAATAGCTGAATGCTAAACTACAGGAACATTGTTTAGTTCAAGAGTTTATACTACCTTGTGCGTGTGTATAAAGAGGAAAGGCTGTATGCACTACAATTTTAGTGTAGTTATATCTGCAAGTATTGACAATGTAATTCGTACGACCGTTTGAAAGATACTTATTAAGCTCAGCATTAACACAATGATATATAAGACACCTTCTGCACGTCTTTTATGTAGTCATTAGACAAGAAGTTGTCACGTGATGTAGCTTAACATTTTATTTGTAAAATTTTACCTCATTTTCTTTTTTCTTCTCTTTTCCACATTACGCAGTACATTAAAAATGGATTTCCAAAATCGAGTTGGTAGCAAACACAGAGGAGGAGGAGTAGCCAGCTATTCTGAATCTAATGTCGATCGTCGTGAAAGGCTTCGTAAATTAGCCATGGAAACAATCGACATCAGCAAAGATCCTTACTTTATGAAGAACCACTTGGGTTCATATGAGTGTAAACTATGTCTAACATTACATACAAGCGAAGGCTCCTACCTTGCACACACTCAAGGAAAAAAGCATCAGACCAATTTAGCACGACGTGCAGCTAGAGAAGCAAAAGAAAATAACCTAGTACAACCAGCCATTGGTCCTGCTAAACCTGTGATTGCACCACGCAGAAATATAATCAAAATAGGTCGACCAGGTTATCGAATCACCAAAGTGCGGGATCCTGTCACTCGCCAACTTGGATTTCTTTATCAAATTCAATACCCAGAGATCGGCCAAGAAGTCAAGCCTCGTCATCGATTTATGGGAGCTTACGAACAAAAAGTAGAACCACCTAATAACGCTTACCAATACTTGGTTATAGCAGCAGAACCTTATGAATCAATTGCTTTCAAAATACAGAGTACAAAAGTGGATGAAACACCAGGAAAATTTTGGACTCACTGGGATCACGATTTGAAGCAATTTTCATTACAATTCTTTTTCAAGAGTGAAAGAAGCACCATGTTTGAAGGAATGGAAGCCACTCCTACGGCTGCACCGCCCACTGCCATGGTTTAATAATAAAAAGTTCTTTTTCTATATACAAGTGACATTGTAGGCTCGTTTTCTTCTTTGATGTTGACATTAAAAGAGAACGATGCAGCTTTGTGTCTGTGTTACAGCACGAATAGTTACATCGTCCATCAGTTGATATAAATGACAGTTTCAAGGAAATTGGTTCTAAATAATAAGGAATGCCTCTTTTTTGATACCTTGACCTTCATATTATTTACGTACGCCCTCAAAAGGATGACATGTTTTTAGTGAAGAAAAGAGAGCTACGAATGCATATGGTAAAATTGCAATTCATGTACTTTTTTATTCTATGATAGTTTAAACATTAGAGACGTCTAGCCTTCTTTGGTCTACAACCACCAAAGGGAACAGGTGTAGCATCTGTGATTCGCTTAATTTTCCAAGTTGCGCCTGTAGCTAAAGCTTTAAATGCAGCTTCCCTTCCAGGTCCAAATCCCTTCAAGATGAAGTGAACATGAGCCACCTGTAAGTTCTTTGCTTGCATCTTTTCCAAAAGCTGAAGTGATGCTTGATGTGCTGCTTCATATCCACTACGAGCAGCTTTCTTGAATCCTGCTGATCCTCCAGAGGTTGTGATTAAAGGTAAGCCATTAGGTCGAGTCAAAGTGACAATGGTATTATTGGGAGAGGCATTAATATGAAGCTGATGAGGAGGTCCAAAATTAAGAGCCTCGCCGAGGCCGTGAAGATCAAAGTTGAATTCTGGCTTTACTTTGTTTTTATTTTTTTCAACAGAGTCCTGCAGAATGTTGGAAAGACCGTCCCTGTTTTGGACTTTTGAATTTGACAGCACCTTCAAGATGCCCTCCATTTGTTTTGATGGCTTTCCGATTGTTTGTGGAATGGTGCTGGATACCCATCGTGTTTGAACAAGTCTTTGTAAGCAAGGCTGTTGTGTAATTTGTTGGCAAGCCCTGGGAATATTGTGTTTAAGTCTCAACATTATAAATAATCCAGGGTAAAGAAAAGGATGCTTGATTTAAAAAAGCCACACAGAATGCTGCAAGACGGTAATTTAAATCCCGCTATACACTCTTTAGTCGTCACACGATTGAAATAAGAACGTCGCTTCATTTGCTTCTTCACTGTGTTTTAACTTTATGTCGCCAGTTTGATCAACAAAAAACCAACAAACACGTGTAATTATGATATGTACGTATTTTATATCAAACGATATCCCACAGAACGGTCTTAGGTTAGGCAGACACTTTGGTAGTGTGAATTTGTAAAATGATGCCACATACAGGGCCTAGAAGAAGCGCCCGTAGCATTAGCCTTCTCGCGGATTTCCTTGTGCGCGTAGTGTACACCTAAAAGTTTAGTATGAGTGTTTAGTAAAACTATGATAGAACATTTAGCAACATTCACACTAGCACCTAGGTATATCCCTGGGACAGATTTCTTTTACATGAAAGGATTATGGGCATTATAGTAAAAGAGTTGGTTGGTCAACATGTCGATAACACCGCCTATTGTTTGGGTCGATGTGTTTGGGCAAGCAAACGCGTCTCTGATGCTTTATACGTTTCAAAGTTACCACATCTAAATCCAATCTTGGTAGAAGCCCAATGTGATATGGATGCTGATTCTATAGCAAGATTATTCTCGTATTCCTTGCAATTGAAACAAGAATACAGTCAATTACCAAAAGTACTTGTAATATCCATCAAAAGTATTACAACTGGAGTTAAATCAAAGTTCAAAAATTTGGAAAATAATTGCATGTATACAATGGATTGTGATTTTTGGGCAGAAAGCTGTCAAATTCTTTCAGCCAAATCAATTCAAGCTCATTTAAAGGGCAATCCTTTGAACAAGTTGGTTGCTTTAGGCCACTTTCTTATTTAGCAAAAAAGAAACGGCTATGTTGCCGAAACTAAGACTAAGGATGTGGTTATAGGCTTTCTAGCTGCGCTTTATTTTCAGTAATATAATAATAAAAAAAAACTCTTCTTATTGTTCTCTTTACATCTTTCTATGCGTGCATTCACTGTGGTTTGGAGAACTGGTGGCAGAGATGGGCTTCAAAAGAGTCATTTGTACCATGGGAGAGGGGCCACCATATCCTTAGTCTTCGTTTTGGCAACATAGCCATTGGTGTAGGCACGACCAGTAACTCATTTTAAAGTCAGCGCAAAATTATTTTTTACCTGAACGCAGTAAAAAAAGTTCACGATTGCAACTTTATGAAGTCACTCCTTTTATGGAGTATTGTCCTTTGGTGTAAAGAATGGGATCTTCTACTCTTGCACATGCGATATGTTTTATTTTAGAATAGCTTATCAGTGAATTCGTAGTAGCTTACATTTTGACATGACAGCGAAAAAAGATTTCGACTCACAGAAGTTTATGGACAGAGTACTAATGCGTCTCTCTAAGTCAATTCCAAGCTTCGCTAATTTCGTCCGTGAAGGAGTGGGAATTATTTGGTTAAGCACGGCAAAAGATCACTTCAGAAATCAGTCGTTAACACACGTCAAGTCCAATATATGATGTAGAGTTAAAGATATACATACAGACTTGTTGTGCTCCATCGTTTAAATTGTAAATACAGAGGCCAATTATCTGCCATTGTTTTGTACAAGCGATGCTTTAATATAGTGTTCCTTGTAGTCTTTAGACTATTTTGACTGTGTTGATTAAGAAACGGTAATTGCTAATACAAAAGAACGCGGGACCTATTTAAAACTGTCAGCCAATTTTCTATCAACAGCAGAAATTTAGTTCCTTATTGGGCCACAAATGTTTTGACCAGAGTAATTTTTGAAGGGGGAAAAAACACTGCAAGTCCTTTTTTTTTTTCTTCTACTTTTTTCCTCTAGTTTTTATTATCAAAAGATCTATTGATGTCTAAAAGGCCGACAAAGATAAAGGCTGCTGAGGTATCAGATCCCTCAGACACAAGCAGTAGACAGAGACAAACAAAAAAAGACGAAGTAAGGACAAACGTTGTTTAGTCTATATAGCAAGAACTTAGATCGCCATAACCTTTAGGCACTACGAAAGAAACTTGAGCAAGAATTCTTAAAAAAGTCCAATACTTCTACTAGAACACTCAACAAACGTATACCAGGAACAGTTTCTGCTTTAAGACCAAACCATGCTGTGACAGTTAAAGAGAATATGCTTGTTGTAGAATCTGCACAATTTATGGCTGCAAAACGATGCGATTGCGTATTGGTGGTCAATGAAGACGACCAGCTTTCAGGCATATTTACTGTAAGCAAAAATAACTTTGTCAAGCTGCATAATTGCCTTTTTTAGTTAAACTTCTCAAGGAGATAGGCCAAAGACATTGCGTATAGAGTAGTAGCCGAGGGTTTAGATGCAAGGTAGGAAAGAGAAGTGTGAGACTGTAAAGTGATAAGAAAAGCCTAACGTCATATGCAGAACAATAACTGTCAGTCAAATCATGACAAAGAATCCACTGTGTGTCACGTCTGATACATCAGCAACAGAGGCACTTGATCTTATGGTACAAAGGGGATTCCGCCATTTAGTAAGCTTATATTTTACAAACTATAACCGCAACCTCGCTCATCTATACTATTTATAGCCTGTTTGTAATGAAGAAGGTGATATCTTTGGTTTATTGGATATCACTAAATGCTTATATGAGGCACTTGAAAAAATGGAACGTGCATTTGGATCATCTCAAAAATTATACGACGCATTAGAAGGGGTAGACCAGGAATGGTCTGGAGGTAACCCTGCTCAGCTAAATGAATACATGACACATTTACGTGAGAGCATGGCCTGCCCAACGTTAGAATCTGTCCTGGATGGCACTCCTCCAGCGCAAGTGAAATATAAGACAAATGTAAAAGAAATTGCAGTGTTGATGAGAGAGTTACATACAACCGCTGTTCTTGTAACAAAGAGTCACAAACTTCAGGGTATCTTTACCTCGTAAGTTCATATTAAAAAAGAAAGTTAGCTAGGACTGACATATCCATATACAGTAAAGACATAGTACTCCGCGTTGTCGCCGCAGGATTGAATCCTGAAAACTGCACAGTAGCACGAGTGATGACACCAACTCCAGATACAGCTACACCTGAAACAACCGTATTGGATGCCCTTAAACTTATGAACAGTAAGGTGTAAACAGAGTTTGATATCATTTAAAGAAACATCTAAACAAAAACATTAGAGGGTCACTATCTCAACCTTCCAGTGATTGGCGATGGTACTATAGTAGGCACTGTAGATGTATTGAAACTGACTTATGTCACGTTAAAACAAGTAATAAGAGCTCGTTGCTCATGATAAAATAGATTGTTGATATCATTTCTGATAGATGAACGCTATCCAGGGAAGCAATTCAGAAGGAGGGCCGATGTGGTCTCGTTTTTGGGATAGTTTCAGTCCTTCCGCGGCTGATTTGGCAGAAAACGGATCACAGCTGTCAGACAACTCAAATAATAACAGCAATAATCATCTAGCTCCCCCTCCTTTCATATCACCACAGCCCTCTACATCATTAAAGACTTATTCTGATATCTTACCGAGCGAGTCTGCAAGCATGGTTAACAATAATAACGAAGCCTCTTCGTCATCACTGACAACAGCGGTACCGATAGCACAAGATGTATTCACATTCAAATTTACTTTAGCCGAACAAAAGACACATCGCGTAGTGACAAAATTGTCATATAATGAACTTTTAGAGGCTATTCGATCTAAATTACCTCCAAACCAAGTAGAAAATGAAAAGGAATGGCTCACATTGTCTTATTTAGATGACGAAGGAGATAAAGTGCTTATCACCTGTGACTCTGATGTATTAGATGCTGTGCGTTTGGCAATGAAAGCAGGACAAAATAAAGTCAAATTGTTCGTGCAAGATGATAGGATAGATACCAGCAAATCAACCACATCATCGTCAACAACAGCGACAGAAAAGATGACCACTTTTGAAGAAAAAATAGAAGTTGTAAAAGAAAAGACTGTGGATGAAAAAAGTAAGGGCAGTAGTAGTCATATCATATTATCTGCTACAATTGTCCTCATGGCAGCTACGGCTGCTGGTGTCTATATCTACTCAAAAACATCCAAGCAAAGGTAGCAGTCTGTATATCCAAATAAAATCAACTTTATTATTTACAATGTATTTTCGGCCACGGTCTCTGCTTGAGGGATCGCCATGATTTTGTCCAGTTCGTCTGTATTTGTCTTGATACTAGGCACAAGTGCTTCGACAAATAATAAAGGATATACACTGGCATATTTGAAAAATAGCCTTGTTGAATAGCGAATGAATTCTTTAAGTTGGCTGTGTGCCTCTGTTTTAGGGAAATTGCTACTGTATATTAAGATGCGATTGAATAATTCCATGACAGGCAGCTTCCAGAACAGATATTCTGCCTTTCTTTTTACCATGGCCCTGTGAAAGAAGCTGGTGATGTAGTGGATGTATTCAGGTTCCAGATCAGCATAGTATTCCAGTAAAGTACAATATGTGCGAATAACATCCTCATTCATGTATTTCTTGTACGTGTTAATTTAAGTCATACAAGAAGGATATATATCTTACCTTTTCGAAGCCTTCAAATTTAAATAGCTGTTCATTATATGCAGAACCATGATCTTCTTCACTTTCGTTTCCTTCACTTTCATCCATTTGTACTTCCTCTGGTTCTTCGCTATCTTCGACCATCTGTTTCTTTTTATCTTTCTTTTTTCTAGAGCGTTCATTTCTCTTTTTTCGTACAAATAAAGTCTTTTTTGTTTTAGCATAATGATCCAGCATTTTTAGCAGAACATGAGTAAGCATGACCATAGTCTTCAAATATTGCTTGGATTGGTTACGGTAGTTTTTTACAAGGCTGTGAAGTAGATCGAGAATCGACTGCTCATAATATAAATTACTTTGAATATGTTCTGCAGCGTCGCGATACTCTTCTTCTTCTGATTGACTCATCTCGTGTAAACTAACCAGCATTTGCCTAAAGCAATCTGCTGTCACAGTTACTTCAAACCATTTCTTTTCTTCTTGCTTTTGTCGAATGTAATGTATACAAAATAATATTGTGCCTAAATCAAATGCTGTAGCAACTAAATCAAAATCAAATGACTTGTTCAATATATTTCTTTCATCTTGTCTTGAAGGTAGGCATAACGTATTGGCTTTTCTCGCTTTACTCGTCTTGTTTTCATAAAGATGATACTGTAGGAACCATCCCATACAGAAATAGTAGCGAATATAGTCTTTGTCTACAATCTTTTTATCGTCTCTTTTCATATCCTTTAATACAGATGAAAATAATGCTATTGTTTCGATCAGAATATTGTCTTTTTTTTTTCTTTTTTCTTTTGCTTTGCGCTGTTTACCATTAAAACAAGTTTCCACAAAAGATTGTGCAGTTGCTTTAAGATAGAGTAAACATCGAGAATCTTGATACACCTTTCTAGCTCTAATTTCATCTGCAAGTTTACGCTTGAGGCCTACTCTGCTGATCTTCTTGTCTCCATCTACCAATTCGCTTACATCAGCAAATCCAGCCTGTTGTTTATGAAAGACTTTTTTGTTTCCTTCCTGTATTGCGCATAAGCATGTACTCTTTTTTTTTGCTTTATCTTATTTATTTACCCAATCTTCCAATACATATGTTCCACCAAACCTATTATGTCTTGTTGGTCCATGTGCTATTTTCTGTCGTTTTTGAGCCTTCTCTACTGTAAGCATTTCTGATAATTTAGCTGATAGTTCATTTAATCCCACATTTTTCTAAAATAAGATAAATGAATACCATACGAATACTCTAGAAATATTCTTACTGTATCAGAAGTGTGTTTGTAAGAAAAGACGGTTTTTGGGTCAGCATGTTGAAAGATATTGTATAGGATTTCTAAAACAAGCACATTCCACTCTGATGAATCTTGTTTGTTGATACTATTAGATGAGATGGTCAATAAGAGTTCGATCACGTCTGCTTCATAAAATCGAATCATGAGGTCTTCCTGCATATGTGACATCTTGATCTGCTCGACTGTTCCTGCCAGTGATAGATTTAAATCGGGAATAGCTGATAAGTTGCGAAAAAAGTATAGGACAAGCCGAATGACTGTATTATCTCGTATGGATCGTTCACTTGATAAGTATTGAGGTTAGATCAGAAAGAAACAAAATATATGTTTTCTATTACCTGTATGGGATGCGAACAGCTGGTTCAACCAAGCGTAAAATGACTTCAAATACACCTGGCTTTAATAGGCCTAATTTATATTTTCTGTAGCAGTCAATCATATTAGGATCATATTCGTCTTCTTCTTCATCATCAAGGCTTTTCTCAATAGGCCAGGTCATAGGTACGAGTAACTCGACTTGAATAGACATTGAGTACATAACACTATATTTTCTTTTCTTTTTTTTTTTTTTACCACATGCCAGTATGAATCTATTAGCGATCTCTGTTGATTGACCTTCAAATGATAACATGAGAGGGACGATGTCAGATTCAATGATATTAAACTCGGCAATCGTATTGAGTACAGTCTTTTCTTTATATTCGCTGTCAACACGAATAGCTCTCTTAAGGTCTCTTAGACATGCTAACAATATATGTTGGTAAACTTGCTCTTTTTCCAGCTAAACTTGCTTACCAAGAGCTTCGTCGCCTACAGAGTATTGCCTTGTTCCGTCTGCAGAAGGAAGCTCTTCATGAGCACCAAGTGCTGAACATAAACTAAGAATGTAGTTTCTTGTTTCTACTCTGTCGTCAGTAGTATCCATTGCTTTTTCTTTTTTTAGAAATTCAGGACGCGAAAAAAAAAAGAGTCCCACCAAAAATGAGAGATCTAGAAACCGAGAGCGGACTATTTTCACGCGTTTCGCGCGCTGGTCCTGACGCAAGGTTATTGGTACGGAACTTTAAACTGAATGTACACTGAAAAATAAGGAGAAAAGTCAAAAAAAAGCCAAAGTCAAATAAAAATTTGGGCCCTGCTTCCAAAGTGATCCCCTTTCTCTTTTTCTTAAAGACATGCGGTGGCAGCAGTTATGCCTTGATCTCCTTAATACATATTATATTCCCCGCACACACGATAGAATAATATGTTGTCATGGTAGAATAAATAAAAGAGTAACACCAAGTGATTATTTCAGTGTCCATTTTCAGTGAACCTTTTTTTCTCCTTAAAGAGTTGCTGTTTATCGTCACGAAGTGTTGATCTTCCATCCTTAACACAGTTTATTACCTTTTCTTATTATCCCATTCTCTTCTTTGCTTCTTTATGGTTTCCATAGAAATAATAGGATTATCAAACAAAAAAGAAGAAAAGAATTCTTTTTCCTTTTTATAATCGCATGAATAAAAATGAGTTACACGATACAACAATGCACCTTGTCTCCCTGTCAAATATCAATTCTATCTATTCGCTCAATTACTACATCTCCTTTTTTATAAAGTTGGATCCCTCTTTTTTTTT